TGGGCCCAAAACCCTACTCTAATGATCACGGCTCCTATAAGAGAAGACGGATGACAGCAGACGTACGGTCTGGGCATGTCGAGACGTCGAGACTCCATCCGGGCCCTAACATAGGAGGCCTTAATGATTCGTAATAATCAGACTACGGTTTTGGGCTTTTTTATAGTACAACTATAATAAGGAACCCCAAAAGAATATAGGTAATTATTGAGGCCCCTATTTTCATCTAATACAAGGAAGTTGTCCTGAATCCATGGGGTCTGGGGCCGTGTAGGGTTAACCAGGGCATTTTATAAAGGTCTTAACCGGATCTTAAGAAGGTTTTACCAAAGGGGGGTCTCTACGGTTTGGGATGGTGGGATTGTAGGGCTCAGGGCTTTTGCATTTCATGGTTTTGGTGACTGAGGGTTAAAGTTTAAGTTGCAGGGCGTATTGTAGTTATTCAGGCTCCTACATCACAGAGCCCTGATAGAACCCTTATAGTAGCCCTTATAGAACACCGTTTTCGATTTGCGATTTTGCAAATTTAGTGCTCCGTTTTGTTGAATCTGAAGTCTGGAGCACCCTAGCCCACAGCACTGCACTCCCCAGATCCCATAAACACCTCAAAAAAACAAAGAACCTCAAAGAACAGACGAAATATGTTCTCTTTCTTCGCAGCCTCCCGGGAGGTTGAGAAATTTTCCGAGTGCCTGCGGCGCTCCTGGGCTCTCTTGCAGCTGGCGCAACACTATGCTGCGAAGTTTGTTCAGGCCAGTGGTTGATAGCAGTATATAGGGGCCTTAATAATTACCTCTACTATTTTGGGGGTTCCTGATTATAATTATTGTATAATATACCCCAAAACCCTATTCGAATTATTAAGGCCCCTACATTACCAGGGTTTGCAAGTTTGAGGCTGTAGGGGTACTTGGGTCCCGGAGCAGAGAAACCCACCAATTATGCGGAATCATGCTCTTGCCCAAAATCGAGAACTCTAACTCTAAATCTTAAGCCCCTATACGGTAAACCCTACGGTATACGTAGACAGATGATTCTGAGTTACGTTTTCTTTGAAGGCATCTGCTTAAACCTGCTTACACCGCCATGTAGTCGTATAAGCACCCAGCGGAGGTAATGGCCACTTCATCTACAGTACCAATCGGCCCAGACTTAGGTCCCTTCGTAGGAATCTCCTGTCCTTGTCTGAGCCCCCGAATCCCAAAACCCCGCTTCAGGTTTTAAGGTTTAGGTTGGGGAGCCCCGGACCCTGAGCTCTCAACGGTCAGGTGATGAACGAGACCGTGACGATCACGGACATTTGGCAATGTCCTGCCAGTCTGGGTGGAGATCCCAACTTGCCTCCGGGCGGCATTCCGGTCCCCAGCCCCAACCCGTATATGCCCCAAACCGTTCTTCCACTAGTCGGAGCAACAGCAATGAAGAGTAGTGGCACGACCAAGGGCCAACTAGATGATCAAAGGCAATTATACAAGTCGAGGCTGTGGTCGAGGGTTTTGTTAGCGGTGGTGGTGGTGGTGGTTGTAATTGTGATTGCGCCGGCCATGCTCATCCTCATCTGCCTCTCCACCTGCTCGTCATCATCATCGTAATCAAAAATACCACTGACAGCAGTAAAAACTGTCTTTACAGGGTTGCAGGGGGCTGAACCCGTAGGACCATCCGTGTAAGCTTAAACCCTCCAGGCTTCAACCGGAACGCCCCAGGCCCCAAACCCTGAGCTTGGAGTCCTCAATCCTTCACTTAAGGGCTTAGCGTTAACCCTAAGGCTGATATCCTTAGGGTTCCTGTTGCATTTATGGTACCACATACCCCGAGAATTGTCCGAATGATCATCAAGGCCCCCATACTAGGCCCTAAACCCCAAACCCTAAACCCTAAACCCTAAACCGCTATAGAACCCCCACAGTCTCCAAGAGCCCTTAGAAAGGCCCCTGTTCTGCCCCAGATCTTTTCAAGTCAGCCTTTGCCGAGGCTTTAGGTTTAGGGTTTAGGATTTAGGAGCCTTTGCAGCTGAGGTGGCACACACCCACAGAGCTCATCGTCGTGGGGAAAGCCAGAGTCTCACCCATTCCGCAGTAGTTTTAAGGATTGTTTACATCAAGGGCTGGGGGATTGGGTAGCTAAGCTGGGTTACTCAAGAGGGTTATGAGAGAAACGAATTGGGGCAACCCGGTGCCCACGACACCTTGCTAAGTTCCCTGAACCGCCATGTAAGGCCATGCGGGTGTTGGGGCTAGTTTGAGCTTGGTCAAACTGGCCTCATCATCTTAGCTGCTTTTGAAGAGGGTTTTTCCAGGTCAGACTGATTTGTTTGTTCGCGATATGCATGCCCACTCCCAGATCTCGTTTGAAATGCGGTGTTACATAGTTGTTCGAAATACCTCCCTCAAAATAACCACTAAGCTAGCTTACCCTAAACCCTAAACCCTAAACCCTAAACCCTAAACCCTAAACCCTAAAAGGTTCCCGGCAGGTTCGGTCCCCTTTAGGCTCCTCTTTAGCTAGGAAGCCCTTGTAAGGAAGTGTGTGCCCAATAGTCTTTTCTTTCAAACGACTTTTAGAGCAACCCTCATTTAGAAGTCGAAAGATCTACACATTCGGAGGAGCGGGGATTGGAGAGTCAAGGGGGTTTAGGGTTTGAGGTTGGCGCGTTGAGTTTGTAAAGCCACAACAGCCAAGATGTGAAACCCTACGCCCTAAACCCAGGGTCGTACACCCAAAACCCAAAACCCTAAGCCCAGGATTTAGGCTGCGTATCCACGTTGAACGGGAGGGCAGGCCTCGAGATCTTCGATGGAAGAGGGCCTGCTCCTTCTGGGAGTTCTTTCATAACTGTTGGTCCCCTTAAAGTGGGGGTTTCGAGTTTAGGGTTTAGGGTTTAGGGTTTAGGGTTTCGAGTTTGCTGCTGCTTTAGGGGTCGGTCTTCTCTTGAAACTCGCGGTTTAGGCCCAGAAATTATCAGAAAGCTCCTCATCAATAGAAGGAACTCCCATCTTGACACGAATTCATGGAGATGGAGATGCGTTGTGCTTGCCATGTTAAAAAAAGATCGGCGTCCATCCGGGGGGGGGGGGTTGCTGCCGTAAACACTAAACTCAGGGCCTTGCCACAAATGCCACCTGGCAAAAAGTATGGAATCTACGTCCACTAACAAAGTGAGGCGCGAAACCTTAATAGCTAAACGAAAGTCTTTACAGACATTCCAGAATCTGGCAGAATCCCTAAACCCTACACCCTAAACCGTAACCCTAAACCCTAAACAGGCCCAAGACCCGAAGCCGAACTCCTGAAACCTGAACCGTAATCGGTCAGCTTTTGTGCTGGTTTCGGGCTCAGGGGTCAAGCGCTCACCGGCTTCGGAGTGATCCTGTGATGCCCCAAAGCAGAATCCGATACTGCGGGGTTTGGGAGCACAGAAAGCAACAACCAGCCTAGTCTCAAGAAACCCACGACCGATCACTCGACGACAAAAGCCCTAAACCCTAAACCCGAAACCCCAAACCCGAAACCCCAAACCCTAAACCCGAAACCCTAAACCCCAAACCCTAAACCGCCAAGCCGGAGGCCTTGGGTTCGTGGGGTTTCATTAGGTGGCCCCTCTCGGTTTCGATCTTTCGGGTGAACGTAACGCCTGGAGCCTTCGAGGCCCAAGGAGCGCGCCGTTCACATGGCTGGATGGAGCAACCCTAGACTCTGAATTTTAGAGTTTGGGTTTAGGGTTTAGGGTTTAGTGTTTGGGGTTTGGGTTTGGGGTTTAGGGTTTAGGGTTGTTGTTTACTGGTCATAAAGGTCGCCTTATCCTTGATTTCACTCCATGTAACAGCCGGTGCTGCGCAGCCGAGACGATGAAGCAAGCCACCAACCCCACACTCCGAATCGCTGAGCCCCCTTAAACCAAAGATTCTAAGCCCACATGGGTTTAGGAGTTAATATAGGGGCCTAAATAAATACCAATACTATCTTGGGGTATCCTTACTATAATTATAGTATTTTGGGCTCCAAAACCCAATTTCTCATTATTTTGGCCCCTATATTAGGGTTTAATCCCAAGTCCCTAATTCCCATCCGGGTGGCCGCGGGTATGGGCACGGAAGTGCTCACGCCAGAAGGTGCGTCTTTCGTGTTGGCCGGGAGGTGTAGGAACATGAGTCGACCTGGCAGCAGGTTCTGTTCTAGGTCCCCGTTATAACGAGAATAGGGTTTTGGGTTTTTTTTTTTATGATACTATAGTTTTAAATAAGGAGCCCCCAACATAGTATAGGTAGTTATTTAGGTCAACACACTACTTGAAGACCTCTCCTCAAAGCTATGTTCTGACTATCTCTGCGATTCCTTTCACCTTGGGCTAGCAGAAGTTTTGAAGATGCTAAATTCCTAGATTGGCCCTCGCTGGATGAAGCTGGAGCAAAGAAATAGTCGAATGAGTCCTTGTGTGGCACGGACAAGGTCTTGTGCTCGGCTGTCTGTATGGGTTCCATGAGGGTCTAAACTAGGTAGACCTTTCGGTGGATATTTTGATTCCCCCTTCTTGGGCCTAAGATGACCTTATGTACGAACGCTTTACAGGGCAAATCTAGCAAGGGTTCCGCAGAACTTTAGCTTTTCGCAAAACGGATCAGATTCAGATCTTCTCTGTCGGCCTCTCCTGGACGTACTGGGCGCGAGAGTCTGCACACGCGAGCATGCCTCTGCAGTAAAGAGGGGTCTAGGGTTTAGGGAATGTAGGGGAAGTAGGAATTCGTGACATTGGGGTTGGTGCACCTGCAGTCGAGTGTCTTCGCATCTTTCAAAGTCACACGCCCCCAAACCCACACTCTCAATCCCGCAAAACTCCAAAGGCTTAGAAGGCTTAGACGCTCCAGCATCCACGGCCAAAGATCCGTTGTAAACCCGTGCTACAAAAGATCTTGAAGCTCTCATCAACGCAAGCGTATGGTGCTCCATCGAACCAAGCCAAAACTCTTCAGCGCATATAGCTCTGATAGCAACCCAGAACCTACCCCAAAGCCTAAACCCAAAGCCCTCAAGTTAATCTCAACCCTAAACCTTAGATCCTAAACCGCCTACACCCTAAACCCTATAGAACCCCCTGAAACCCTAAACCTAGATCCTAAACCCCCAAAATCCTAAACCCTAGATCCTAAATCCTGTCAACGCCCTAAACCCTAGATCCTAAACCCCCCAAACCCTAAACTCCCTAAACCCTAAACACCCTAGATCCTAAACCCCCGAAGCCCTTAAACCCTACACCTTAAACAAACCAAAAAGCCCTAGATCCTAAACCCCCGAAGCCCTTAAACCCTAAACCCTAAACCCACTAAAAAACCAGCAAAAGCTCCCCCGCCACTTTTGTTGGTTTCCCTGCCATCTGCTTGGAGGGTCGGAAGACTTAGTAAGTAGGTAATAGGTAGATTTATAAGTACCCTAAGAAGGACCCTAAACCCTAAACCCTAAACCCTAAACCCTAAACCCTAATTGGGGTTACAGTACCCCGACCCTCCAAGTGCCCCGGAGGCTTCCGCGCCGACGGCCGCCGGGTCCACGAGCCCCGGGGGCTCCAATGCTGCGTCGGCAGCCGGGGGCTCTCTTGTCCGTATATTTTTTAACATTAGAAGGTTTAGGGTTTAGGGTTGTTGCCTTTTTTTTTGTTGGTGTTCGGCTGTGTTTTGCAGCTAAAAATTTTGGATCTCTTGGTGAACGTTATCACGTGCTTTGCTTGCCGTTGTGAAGGAATATAGGGTTTAGTGCCCATGGAAGAGAAGGGTTGGGAGTTTTTGGAGTCTGACACGGGTGGTTGCGGTTGTTGTTCCTGAATCATATAGCTCAGCCCTCAGGTGGTGGGCGTGGCGAGGCTGATGGCTATGCCGTCTTCGAGCTTGGCAGTACGAAGGCGGAGTTAGACGGCGCTCTGATCGTCGAGTTTCTGTTTTAGCTTTGTGTTTCCTTGTCAATCGTAAGTGGCATTAGAGTTTTCTTTTCTTTGCAATTGTTTTCTCGTTGCGCTCGTTTTTCCCGATCCTTATCCTGATCCTGATCCTCCTCAGCCTCCTCCTCTTCCTCCTCCTCCTCCTCCTAAGGATCTTCGTCTTCACCGCAGCTGTTGTTGTGGTTGCTGTGCTGTTGCCTTTTCCGGCCGAAGCAGGAGATTCTGAGATGATGACGATGATGATGACTCTTATCGTCACCGCGTCGATGATGCTGATTCAACAAGTTTGTTTCCCTGCAGCTGCTTCACCAGTCTTGACAGGCTCAGAGCTAAGGGTTCAGTGCCCTGCAAGGTCTGCAGAGATGCTTGTGATTTATGCGGATGTTTAGCATTCAGCTCCTTTTTTCCGAGTTCGTGCACCCCAAACCCTCAAGCTGTTGGAGATGTTGCCTCCCTTCCCCAAGTCGCTAGTCTAGTAGAGTCTAGTAAAGCTGGCGAAATGCTGGAACACTATTGAGCACATACTGCTATACGTCGTGATGTACATTCGTTTAAGTTCAACCTGATGAACTACGGCAGTTACAGTATAGTAAACCATTAAGTCATCACTCTTATCATGGCCATGGCCGTCATCCGGTTGCTAACATCACTTGTTGACTACTTTTTTTCTTTTTGTTGCCATTTCTTAGGGTATGGTGGCACGTGTGGTTTTCTTCTTATGAACTCTCATTCGGACTGTGACTATTGTTGTGTTCCAGTTGGTGTTGCTAAAGCAAACATGTCTCACACTGCCCTTCGTTGCAACTGCGCACGGCGACGACAAAAAACGCCGACGCCGACAATGACGACAACAGTGGCCGGCGACTACGACTACGACTGACCACGACGACGACGGCTGCTACTACCACCGCCACAACAACCATAACATCGACTTCTTCTGCCGCTGCTGCTGCTACTAGGACAACAACAACCACAACTACATCAACTACTAGTACTGCTACTACTACATCTATTACCACAGCAACAACAACACCTGCTATGATTAGTACTACGACCACTGCTACTAATACTGCTGCTGCTACTGCTGTTGCTGCTGCTACTGCTATTGCTACTGCGACTGCGACTGCGACTGCTAGTCTACTGCCATTGCTAC